TATCAAGTTTTAAATAAAATAAATATAAAAATAAAAAAAAATTTCAAGTTTTTTATTAAGATTAATAAAAAATACTACAACAAAGATAATTTTTTTTTTGTTGCAGTACTTTTGTAAGCCACTGTATTGTTTTTTTAGAAATAATTCTAGACAAATTTCTTCATTGAATCTGTTACATTGTTCTTTTTAATTTTGAACAATTTTCATATGTATGATTTTCTTTCACTATAAGTATACAATATATTTGTCTATATGCTTCATCAAGCTGACTATCTTTTTTCAAGAATGCAAAAGGAATGTGATCTTTATTATTAGTTACAAATTGAGTTCTGACAAATTTAAGTTACATCTTCATAACCTTTAATTAAAGTATAATTTTGTTATTTAAAAATAGATATGATAAAATAAAATATTAAAATATTAAATAAATTATCACTAGTACTTTGTCCACAACAGATTTTAATGGAAAAAACAAATTTAATAATTTTTATTATTTCATTAAGTGTTCTTTCCATTGCTTTAACTGGAAATGGAAGATATTTTTCTTGTACAATTTGATTAAGTACATGAATTTTATAACTATGTAATCTATTTTTAGTAAAAATTAATAATTTTTTTTCTGGTTATTTCTTTTTTGCAGAAAATCTAAGTTCCAGTTCTTCTATTATTTCTTGTATAGATATTCCAGCAAATTCTTCTTCAGGTAAAATTTTTTGTTGAATAGATGAAAGAATATCTACAGTATTTATTAAAGAAGTTGTTTTCCAATATAGTTTATAATCTGTATTATTTAAAATTAATGCAATTGATAGGCAAGTTGGGTTTTGTTCCAAAAAAATTGTCGTAAGTGAAAATTTTTTTTCTTTTAAACAATCTTAATTTTTTTAAATAATTAATCCATTTAAAAAATGTGTCAAAATTTCGATTACTTTTAATACAATATATATATGCTTTATTTTCTTTTCCATTATACATAATGATACCTTTAAAATATTTATCCAGAGTTAAAAAAAAATAAATTTTTTTGCCTTTAAGATCAGGTCTAACAATTAATAATTCTTGTAGTACTTCTATTTTTTTTTGTTTCTTTGATGTTAATGAATTACTGTTTTCATTTTTATACCTTTTTTGTGACTTTAATATAAAAAAAATTAATATTTTATTAAAAATTAAATAATTACAAGTTTTTTTTTACCATTTTTAACTGAAAAATTCAAATTTTTCTTTAATTTAAAGATATTAAAGTAGCCGATCCTATTTTTCAGAAGAAAGAAAAACAATACAAAAATAAAAACTATATATGCGTATTGTCAAGGATCTTAAGATTAGCAATAAATAATTTTTATTGTGTGATCAAATAAAATATATTTTTAATTTGTATCGAAATAACATATATCATTAAAGATTAATTCGAGACTACTTAAAAACAGGAAAAATAAAGTGATAACGGCACATGGAAATACCGAGTCATATAAAGTGGAGGATGGTATTGATCAGGGGGACATCATTTCACCATTAATGTGGAGAATTTTTTATGACCCACTAATAAACCGCGTGGCAAAGTCAAAATTGGGTTATACAATGAAAGAGAGCTGGATAAACAATCTGTATCACAAAACACAAGTGAATATTAGCTGTGAGTTAGCAG